ACGCACAGGCCTTGCCGTTGTCCCCCACGACAGGCTCCAGGTGGGGGTCCCGCATGATGTCCCGCCACTCCACCGTCTCCACGTGGCAGAGCTGCGCGTTCTTCTCAATGTAGACGCCACCGGCCAGGATCTCTGCGGGGGTGGCCGGTGGGTGATGGGGGGGCTGCGGTGTTCCATCCCCCCCCCAGTGTCTGGCACCGCAGGGAGGGGACAGCACTGCACCAGCATGGGGACCATGGGTGGGGGGGTCAGCCCCACTCCAGGGACCACAGCAGGGTCACCATCATCCTGGGATGGGGACCACAGCGGGGACAGCACAGCCCCAGGGGGTGCGTGGGGGGGGGGGGAAATCACTGCTCCGTGATGGGGAACATGGGGTGCACAGGGAGGTGGCACCACTCCAGATGGGGACCATGGGGGAACAGCAACACTCTGGGATGGGGACCAGGATGCAGCAGGGGACAGCGCCGCTCCAGAATGGGGACCGTGGGTGGATGACACTGCCCCGGCATGGGGATCCATGGGGAGATGGCACCGCTCCGGGATGGGGACCATGATGGGGGACACCATCGCTCTGGGATGGGGATTGCAGAGGGGACAGCATGGCCCTGGCGTGCACAGGGGGATAGCACTGCTCTGGGATGGGGACCATGGAGGGTGGCACAGCTCCGGGATGGGGACCATGGGGCACACGGGGACAGCATAGCCCCAGGGTGCACAGGGGGATGGCACCGCTCTGGATGGGGACCACGGTGGCACGGCACCACTGTGGGATGGGTCCTGGGACACAGGGGGGGGTCTCAGCGGTGCCGCAGCCCGGGGGTCTCACCTGTGAGCTGGTTGAAGCCGAGCTGACGCAGGGCGTGGGTGGTGTTGGGGTTGTAGTTGAGCAGGACGAAGAGCGCATACTTCTCCTCGTAGAACTGGGTCCCGCGGATGACGCGCAGGTTCTGCAGCGGCAGTGAGGCGAAGACGTTCATGGCGATCAGGATGTAGCCCGTCACCTCCCGGATGGTCTGCAGGCAGCAGGAGGTGTCAGCCCGGTGGGTGCGGATCCCTGTGTCCTTCCGTGTGCCCCCTCCCATCCTGTCCCCCCCCCCAGCTCACCTGCAGGAAGGAGAGGTCCTGCGTGTGGTCGATGAGGACGATCTCCAGGTTGCCCATCACGATCTCGCAGTTGTTGTACATCTTGTGCAGCGTCTGGTACTGGTGCTGGGCGTCCCCCGTCACGCTCAGCCCGTTCAGCGTCCCCGCGCACACTGCGGGCACAGTGGCACCCTGTCCCCCACCGTGGCCACGGCACCTCTGCAGTGGCCATGTCCCCCTCTCGACGGCCACAGCCGTGTCCCCCATGGTGTTGTCCCCCCCTGCCCCAAGCTGGCCACGTTCTCCCCTCAATGGCCATGTCCCCCCCATGGTGGCCGTGTCCCCTCCTTGGTGGTCTTGTCTCTGTCCCTCCTGTGCTGGCCATGTCCCCTCCACGGTGTATGTCGTTCCCCCCCCCAAACAAGCCACGGTGGTGCCCCTATGGTGTCCCTGTGCCCCCCCATGGTGGTACCCCCCTCCATTGCCCTCAGCGGTGTGCCTGCCGTGGGGGTGGCGGTGCTTGGGGTGGGGTGGGGGTGACGGGTGCTCCCCCACCCTCCTTTCCCCTCCCCTGCGCAGCGCCCGAACCGGCCGAGCGAGGGTTGCGCAAGGCGGGTGCTGCGGGCATGGCCCCCCCACGGCACACCCGCGACACCCGGACTTCGGACCTGGCTGCTGGCACGGCCCATCCCGCCTCGACGCCCCAGTCCGGGGTTGGGGCCCGGATGGCTGGGTACCCCCCCCAGAGCTCGGGGGGCAGGCGAGCGCCAAGGGGGGCCCCAGGGTTAATGATTGCCCGCCCCCCCCCCTCGCCGGGGCGGACAGGGCCCCTTTGTGCACAGGGCAGGATGCGGCCCCCTCCCCGCAGCTGCACAAAGGGGCGATTGTGGTGAGCGGGACGGGGGGAGGCTGAGCCCCCCAAAAGCAGCGGGAGAGCCGGTACCCCCGGGGGCAGAGCGGGGTGCGCCTCCCCCCCCCAGCCCAGTGCAGACGTGACTCAGGCCCTGGGGGGGGGGGGGGGGGGCCCCAGGCGGGTAAATGGCAGCTTTGTCTGGCCCCAGCGTGGGGGCAGAGAAGGGCCCGAGCCCCCTCCTGGGGGCGGGTGCAGAGAACGGGCAGCTTGGTGCACGCATGGGAAGGAGCACAGGGCCAGAACGCCCCCCCCCCCCCCCCAGCCACAGCCTGCGCTCCCCTCCCCAGGCTGGAGCTATTTTAGTAGGGAAGGGGCTATAAAAAGGTCCCAGCTGCGTTGGGGCATGGCCCCCAGCCCCGACACCCTGGGGATGGGCACGGCGCGGCCCAAAGAGGGGGGAGCTGGGACCCCCAAGAAACAACGGGGGGTGTTGGGGGCAACTGGAACTTGCCTGGGGGGTCCCCAGGCTGCTGGGGGGCAGGGCCTCCCCCCCCCCCCCCCCCAGGACCCCCGTGCCGGGAACAAGCAGCACTTTTGGGTGACGCTGGTGAATCATTAACAGCCGCTCAAAGGATCCCTCGGCACTGGCTCCCAGCAAACCGAGGCACGAGGGGCTGCGGGCGTCCGGCCCTCGGGGTGCACCTGCCCATGGGGGGGGTGAGGGCCAGGGCCCCCCCACCCCGGGCGCCATCGTGGCGTCGCAGCCGGGTGTTATCAGCGCGGGGCCCCGCTGGCAGCTCCGGCACGTCGCCCGCTATCTGCCGCGTGCCGCCGCGGCCCCCCGGCCCCTGCCGCCCGGAATAGCACAAGGGGACCTGGGCAGGGGCCTGGGGAGCCGGAGTGGGGGGGTCTGTGTGTGTGTGGGGGGGCCAGGACACAGACCTGACCTCCTGCCCTCGGCCTCGCGGGCGACACAAAGGGGGTCTGTGTGCGTGGGGTAGCCGCTGCCGCGGGGCTGGATCCCGTCCCTGAACAAAGGGGGCTCTGAGCCGGGAATGGAGGGTTTGGGGGGGGAGAGCGGAGCTAGTCCCGCTTGCCCCAATGCCAGCATCGGGCACCTGCGGGTGCCGGGGTGGGAGCCAGCCAGATCCCCCCGTCCCGGTGTATGAGCCGGACCCCCACGCACGGCAGCCCCGGGCATCGCCGGCAGCACACAGCGCAGCGGAGGTGCCGAGGGATCGGGCGTGACCCCCGCGTGCCGTCAGTGCGGCCCCCCCCACACCTGGGCGCCCCGGCACGTCGACGGGGTGACGCTGGCCCCACCTTCGCGTCCAGCCCTCGGTGTTTTCCTTTTGGGGTTGAAAAACAACTCCCGGGCGAACCCGGCCCTTCCGGGAGCGTCCCCTGCTCCCCACCAGCTTGGGGTGCAGGGCGGGGGGGACAGACCCCGGGGTGGACAGGGATGGGGTCCCCTCGGAGGGGTCCCCCCGGGGGTCCCACCCTGCCCCGGCTGGATCCTGGTGGCATCGGTGGGTCCCGGCCCCGCAGCCTAAAATTAGCTCTGGCAGCTGCAGGGGCTGCAGGTGCCTCTGCCTGGGGGGGTGACACGGGACCGAGCCCTGGGAGGGGGAACGGAGCCCCGTCCCCATCCGAGCTGCAGCCCAGGGGGTGGGGGGGGAGCGGGGGGCTTTGCTAGTCCCAGTCCCCCCAGGGTGGTGGGGGTCGTCCTGGTC